TTTTTTTTTTTTTTTTAAGATTTTTAGCAACTACTTTTAAAGAGCCTAACCATACCTAAAAATGGTAGGGTGGCTGCTTAAAAGTACTAATATTGATGTTTCTATGGTTTATGCATTTTCTCGTATCTTAAGACTCTGCTGTGGGGCGCCTGGGTGGCTCAGTCGGTTAAGTGGCTGCCTTCGGCTCAGGTCATGATCCCAGGGTCCTAGGATCGAGCCCCGCATCAGGCTCCCTGCTCAGCAGAGAGCCTGCTTCTCCCTTCCCCTCTGCCTGCCACTCTACCTACTTGTGTTCTGTCAAATAAATAAATTAAAAAAAAAAAAAAAAAAGACTCTGCTGTGTGTGAGTTAGGATGATGTTCAGCCTTGAGGAACAGAAACCCACAATCTGAAACAAAACGAATGTTCTCTTGTGAACATAGCCACTCCAGGACTGGTATCATAGCTTTGCAGTCTCTCCAGAGCCAGGCTCTTGCTGTCTTGTCCCACTTTCAACATATGGGGGTCATGCAATTGCTGCATCTGAATCTCTGACAGATCCAAGCATTGTGTTCTATTTCTGTCAATGTTTTTCCTAAAATGTGGTGCCCAGGACCGGACCTGATTCTGTTCCCTGGCAGATGAGCACTGTGAGGACAGAGACTGTGTCTGCTCATTGCCTGCTGAGTCCCCAGTGCCTCGGTGGGGCCTGCTCCAGTTCCAGCCATCATGTCTGTTTTCCCGGTGGGAAGGAGGGCAGGGGAAAAGAGAATGTCCCTTCCCTTGAGGACACTTCCCAGAATGCCACACCGTTTCTGCATATAGACCAGTGGCCAGAATTTCATCAAAAGACCATACCAAGGTATTGAGAAATAGTCTATACGTGGAGTAAGCATGTGCCCAGTTAAAATTCAGAGGTAGGGGCGCCTGGGTGGCTCAGTCGTTAAGTGTCTGCCTTCGGCTCAGGTCATGATTCCAGGTCCTGGGATCGAGACCCGTGTCGGGCTCCCTGCTCCGCGGGAAGCCTGCTTCTCCCTCTCCCACTCCCCCTGCTTGTGTTCCCTGTCTCGCTGTGTCTCTCTCTGTCAAATAAATAAATAAAAATTAAAAAAAAAAAACTCAGAGGTAATTTTGCTGAGTCGAGAGAGTAGAAGGGGGGGGCAACTGGCAGGCTGTCAAATTATAGCTAAAACAGACTTCAAAGACTCTGGATTATGGGACTCGTGGGTGGTTCAGTCAGTTAAGCGTCTGCCTTCAGCTCAGGTCATGATCCCAGGGTCCTGGGATCGAGTCCCACATTGGGCTCCCTGCTCAGCATTCCCTGCAGGGGGTTCTCTGCCCTGCTTCTCTGCCTGCCTGCCACTCCCCCTGCTCGCTCTCTGACAAAATAAGTAAATAATCAACCAATCTTCAAAGACTCTGAATTCCATTAAGGCAAAAATGCCAGTAAATAAAATCTTCAAAGACTCTGGATTCAGTTAAGGCAAAAATGCCAGTAGATATTCTGGTTTGCTAGGGCTGTCATAACCACAAATTGAGTGGCTTGAGCAACAGAAATGTACTGTCTCACAGTTTTGAAGGCTGGAAGTACGGGATCAAGATGTCAGCAGGGTTGGTCCCTTCTGAGGGCTGTGAGGAAGAATCCGTTCCAGGCCTCTCTCCCAGCTTCTGGTGCTTGGTGGCAATCTGTGCCATTCTGTGGCTTGCAGATACACCCCAATCTCTGCCTTCATGTCCACATGGTGTTATCCCTGTGTGCGCATGTCTACGTCCAGATTTCCCCTTTTTGTAAGGATACCAGTCACATTGGATTAGAAGCCCACTCAGTTCAAGTATAACCTCATCTGTTTCTTTAAAAAAATTTTTTTTTAAGTAATTTCTATACCCAACACAGGGCTCAAACTCAACCCCAAGCCAGCCAGGTGCCCACTTTTAACCTTTTTTAAAATAAATCCTACCCCCAACGTGGGGCTTGAACGCACAACCCTGAGATGGAGAGTCACATGCTCTACCAACTGAGCCCGCCAGGTGCCCCTAGTATTGACCTGATCTTAACCTAATTAATCACATCTGCAATGACACGTTTGAAATACAAGGTCACATTCTGTGGTCTGGGGGCTAGGACTTCAACATATGAATTTTGAGGGGACACAGTTTAATCTATAACAAGGGTAAATCACAGAGAACTCAATTTAAGAATGACTTTAAAAAAAAAAAAAGGCCCTGAATGGAATCTGGAAAGGCTTTGAAGCCTGGCCATGGTCACCTGTCCTGCAGCTTCCCTGTGGCAACAGCAGGGGGCAGGGCTGCACCATCTGCTAGGGGCCTCTCCTCAGTTTGCCCTTGGCTGCTGGAAGGATTTTACACCTAATACCCGACGGTTCAACGTGGGACTATTTGGGCACCACTACCCCTCCCTCAAAGCTTTGATGGGCATCAAGGCCTATGAATAAACGAGAGAGGAAGTGGGTCAGATGACCACAACCTGTGTGGGTGTATATAGTAGTTTGGTGGGAAGAGGAGTCTGAACGCAGGTGGGAGAGCCACAGGCTCCCCGCCTGATGCCCAGGGGTTTGTGCATGGGAGAGAGAGGGAGTTGGTGATAAAGAGAGCAGTTTTGATTTGCTGCCTCCTACCTGACAGCCTTTCTGCTCCCGGTGGTCAGTCCAGCTCCCAGTGGAAGGAGGTAGGTCAGCACTTCCAGGGCCGGCCAGGGCTGGTGGGCTAAGCTGAGGACCCAGCCCTTTTGGTATAATTCCTGCATTTCCTCTTATAACGATTTTATTTTATTTTAAAGTTTTTAGTTTAATTCCAGTTAGTTAACATGC